TGCCTTTCTAGGGCCGGCACCATTCAGTGACATCCCGCGATGTCACAGAATCACCCTCCCTCTTCGTAGCACTCAGCCATCCCGGCTGTCAACTCCCCCTGCAACAAACAAACATAACCCCTATGTGTGCCTCGAAAAAATAACCCATCCCCACCTATACAATATGTACAATATATACAAATATACAGTAACTAACGGGGAAAGGGGACGAAAGTACAGAACAATAGACAACAAAGGAAGAGAGAAAATATAAAAACGCAGTAAGTAACACGCAAAACTACAGGATCCACCCCAGAACCTGCATCTCCCACCCTCACCGTGTAACACCTGCAAGCACAATAAAGGTCAGGTTCAGCCAATAACCAATACGGCCTGCCGAGTGCGACAGCCAACTGACGGTGTGGGAGCGTGTGTGTATGGGGATCATTTATTTGATGGAGTCCTTGTGGCCGGGCCCCCAGGGGAGGTGGGCTCACCTCTCCCTGGAGGTCCCGGGGGGAATTTACAAATGCCCCGTCGAACCCGGCTCCTCAAGAAGAGCAGCCGGCCGGGCAGTTGGGCCCTCCTCTCCCGAATCCAGTAGAGATGGCACAGGTGGCAGCTTGGACGTTAAACGCGCAGCACCGGAGGACAGGATCACATGACTTCCCTGAAGACCAACCTCTACCAGGTACACACCTCAGCTCGACGGACACATCTGACACTCGGGCTCCTGCGTAGTTGGAGATGGGATGAAAGGCTTGAACCATGACCAGGCTCTGGAACAGAACACTCAGCGGATCAGTCCCAGGCACCTCGAGCGGGATCAGTCCCAGGCACCTCGAGCGGGATCAGTCCCAGGCACCTCGAGCGGGATCAGTCCCAGGCACCTCGAGCGGGATCAGTCCCAGGCACCTCGAGCGGGATCAGTCCCAGGCACCTCGAGCGGGATCAGTCCCAGGCACCTCGAGCGGGATCAGTCCCAGGCACCTCGAGCGGGATCTGTCCCAGGCACCTCGAGCGGGATCAGTCCCAGGCACCTCGAGCGGGATCAGTCCCAGGCACCTCGAGCGGGATCAGTCCCAGGCACCTCGAGCGGGATCAGTCCCAGGCACCTCGAGCGGGATCAGTCCCAGGCACCTCGAGCAAGATCAGTCCCAGGCACCTCGAGCGGGATCAGTCCCAGGCACCTCGAGCGGGATCAGTCCCAGAAACCTCGAGCGGGATCAGTCCCAGGCACCTCGAGCAAGATCAGCAGGTCATTTTGAGCAGGATCATTAGTGAAATAAAATCCCGTCTCAGTCTCAATCTCTATCTCAGCAACCGCCTCGAACAAGCCGAGTAGCGGAGTGAAATTTTCACCCCCTCCCCGGATTCCCCGCGCCGGGGCCTTTTATTCAATCACGCCCTTTCCCCATTTAATTATAACGTGCCCAAGAGTCCAAACCCCCGTGCCCACGAGCCAATCCAACCTCATACAACTTCAACCACTTTCACACAAAGCCACCACCTGCAAGTCCTCGCTTCTCCCCAATAAAAGAAACACCCTACCCCCCAAATGTATCATTGACTGCAACAGCTTTGTTGAGTAGTTTTTTGCTGTGTTGCGTTGTGGTGATTATTTTGCGTTGTTAGGTTATATTGTTGTTGCTGCACTAACCAAGCCCGCACATCACGGGTGAGTTTCTATAATCGCTCAATATCAGCCCTAATTATTCACACAATTCACTACATGCAACATTTACTGATGCACTAATGCAGACGCTTACCTCACTGCTCAGTGACACTGCAGACTAACACATCGCACAAGGGGGCACCATGACGACGATGATGATGACGTGGATGTTAATAACGAGGTAGTTTTATAAACTGAACGCTACTCGTGCCGAGCGTCATCTCTATCCCTATTTCCAGCAACACAGCAGATACCGTTGCTGGCAGCGCTGACTCCGTTTGTCAAACGCGCCCCTGGGAACGCTCTTCAGCTGGTTGTTGTACAGAGTCAGATAAGTGAGTTGGGTCAGTTTGTCAAACACCCCAGTGGGGAGAGACGCGAGTTCCTCATTGCGCAGAAACATCAGACAATCGCTGTCCACTGTTTTATGGAGACTCTAGCAGAGTGAATGTAAAAACGACTACAAATAACGTTCATTGCATTTCATTCACCGATTAAGCTTGTGAGCGGATTGGTATGGTTCGAAACATCAAATTAATCATTCAAATCCCTTTGTTTATCCACTGCTGGTCTGATTTCCAATGTAGTGGTCGTTACACTGATATTGGGTGAAGAGGTTTGAGCTTTATCTTTACCGTTCTTCCAATATTTTGGCATTGTCGTCGGAAAGGCGGATATGGAAATTTCACACTCCTATGCTGGGAGCCAAAACATTAAAGATCGATTCATGACTGGTTCCAATCAGTCTTGAATACATTAACCCGGCATGGGCCTCCCCTCTGTTTACTCAGCCTTAAGTGAGTACCTGGCACGGTTAGTAAGCATCAGCACTGGGGAGACAACACGTGTGTGTGAGGGATTGTTTTGAAACGAGGATTCTGTGACAGTCTTTGTCTGATTTCGATTTAAAGCTTTCGTGACTGCAGGGATTCATCTTCTTGGTTCTTTCGGTAAAGTCATGTAGAAGGGAAGTAATAAAATAATAAAAATAAAACATAATAAAATAAAATAATTCTCACGACGTTTCGGCTACAACGCAAGCAGCAAACGTCGTGAGAATTATTTTATTTTATTATGTTTTATTTTTATTATTTTATTTCTTCCCTTCTACGTGACTTTACCGAAAGAACCAAGAAGAAGTCTTTGTCTGCATCATCACGGCTATGAACCATCACTGATTCGACCGATGCCAAGCCGTTGTGTCTATTCCTCACCTGTTTGATGTCACGCTCTGCCGAGTAATCGAAAATGCTATCACACGAGAAGCTGTGCACGCGTGACTTGCATTGCGATGTTAACAAAACACAGTTGCAAAGGAATCGCGGATCAACGCGGGGCAGCTGAAGAGCATTCCCAGGGGCGCCTTTGACAACCTCAAGAGCCTCACTTACATCTGGCTGTACGGCAACCCCTGGGACTGTGCCCTGCGCGGAGCTGTCAGCCTCCTCTCTCTCTCTTTCAGCCTTCTCGCCTCTCTCAGCCTCCTCACCTCTTCAACAGCTTCCTCGTCTCTCCCAGTCTCCTCGTGATGACGAATGATAAAGTAGCCTACACAGTCGTTGCATTATGAGCATATGTAGAAGGTTGTGATTTGTTTAAAATGGCAAATGTGAGAGATAGCCGCGGGGAGTGGTGGGCCCAGTTGTTAACGTACTGCGCTCTGAACACGGTGACCTGGATTAAACGTCAGCCACGGCGAACATCAGAAGCAAGTGATGATCATCACCACTTCAGCAGTGACGTTTGGTCAAAACCCCTACAACCGACGCAGTGCTTGTGCCAGGCTAGGTGCACACACACACACACATCCATGCATATAACACTCGATGGAGAGCAAAATTATCGCCCTGCAATGCTCTTAAACAGGTTTACGTCCACACCTATGTGAGTAATTTGAGGTTGATTTGACCTAGGGGAGGCACAGGACTGGTTCGGATAATCGTCGCTGGTGTTGGCCGTGAGTGGGAATCGAAATCGGGTCGCCGTGTTTATAGCGCATCACGTTAACTGATACACTCCCGATCCCCATTAAACTGGTACAATGAACAGTTTACCACCAGAGAATAGCCCTGGAATAGGACGTCAACATTTATACGCCTCTTATTCTCACTCATTGGCGCACATTCCCACAAGCCCTGCCAAGTGGGTTCCTCGCATACATTTCTTTCAGCTGGAATGAGCCACAGCAAGTGGATTCTCATGTGTAACATAATTATATTGGATTAGGATTTACTAGGTTGTTTGTGCACTCATTGGACACTGCGCTGAGCCCATCAGCTAAAAACGTCTCCCCATTTCTCCTCACTTCTCCTCATCTCTTAAGGATGATCTACGAATGTGTCGACGTCTCTTGCTAACTGCGCTTCAGCACCACTTCCAACGCAGCATCGCCAGACAATCGGTGAACCGTCATCTCAATTCACAACGAGCTGCAGACCCTTGGCCGAATACGCGGCGTTCATCTGGCAATGGAATTTGCTTTCACAACCAGCGCGTGGTGGTAACAAAAGCAAAGAGCCTAACAGATGATCGTCTTGGCCGTGACGTTAACATTCCCCGGTGATGGTGCGCCGCAGTGGCGAGATGTTAACTACCTCGCCTGATATGTAGCAGGTTGGAAGGTCGATTCCAACCCTAACGCTTGCTGTATATTTGTAGTTTGCATGTTCTCCCGGCGGTCGCGCGTATTTTTTTCCAGGTCCTCCTGATTTTCCCCCTCGACATTTAGAAACACGCATTGAGTATTTGGCTGCGATACATTTCCATCATTTGTTACGAGATTTCTTCTTAAAAAGAGCTAGATAGCTTAGTGGGCCTGACCTGGTAAAATGAAAAGTTTAGTTTAGAAAAGCACTTTTGTGGAAAACACGAGGAAGCACCCTTACTGCACCACCCCCACCTCCCCCCGGCTATGGCTCAAGAACCCGGGTGTGGAGTGCAGTGTTGCAATGTGAAAGATGGCGGTGTGGGATGCGGTGGCGTGGAGCGAGCTGGAGCTATGGACCTGCACTTCGTTGGAGGACTCAAGCTTGGGACAAGATTACAGTAGTTTTAACGCAGCCCCAGAGTCTCGCGTCTCCCCAGTCAGACTGTCAATCAACCCGAGTTTGAGCACTGTAATGCAATTGCTCTGCAAATACAGGCTCTGCGTGTTGGAGTTGCAGAATATGCCGTGGGCATGCGAGGGATTAATTCAAACTCGACTGTAGCTGATGATGTCTTCTGTCTCTCCGACACATCGGATCTCTGGTTGTTTCATGGAGACGAGGGTTGATGCCCTCAATAGCCGTCGCCTGATTCCTACGCGTGTGGCTCCAATTCCACCGCCAGTCGTGCTCCTGGGAACGCTCTTAAGCTGGTTCTGATTCAGATACAGGCGTTGCAGATTCACCAGGCGGTCAAACACTTCCTCGGGAAGGGCCTGCAGCCGGTTGCCACTCAGAGACAAAAGAGTCAGCTGGGTCAGACTGTCAAACACCCCAGCTGGTACTAATGTAGATTTACAGATATGTTAATGAAAGCGACATCATTTAAAACGAGATTAGTTAAAGAGACCTTCATTCATTTGCATAGAGAAATGTTTCGTTTCAGCGAACTCAATTTATTGTTATAGACATACGTATTTCATACCAATGTCCATTCACAATGAGAGCAACTTCCTTTCACTTCCATAGATATATTAGCTTCAGCGACATTCTTTCATTTTCATTGACACATTTTACGTAAACATACGTGCGTTGACTGAAATACAGATGTGTTCGTTAACTTGTTCTTGATTCACATGCATACTGTCAAACACCCCAACGGATACTGATGGATTATGATAATGCGAATGACCTGTCAGTTCAAAGTGGCCTCTTCACTTCTAGAGACTTCAGTTGAGTGGTAGCCTCCATGCTATTTGTCCAAAGCGAACTACCACCAGTCTCATGGAAATATATTAGTGAGAGCGAAATCCATTCACGTAAAGTGTTTAACCAGGGCCGTTCTCTCTCGTGCAGATATGGGAGTTGACAAAACCTGCATTCGCTATCATAGAGACTCATGATCTAAAACAACTTCTACTAAATTTTGATAGTGAAAGTGATTCCAGTTAACTTTCGTCGAGATCTGCCCGTTAAAATGAGAGACGTGTCAAGTAAATAAAGTAAATATAATGTCATAGATTACCGCGTTATTAATAACCACGTGATCCATTCGCATTGATGCTTCTCACAGAGACCTATTACATTCACCTCGATTCGCTTTCAGAGATGTATTAAATCAAGCAAACAATATTAACGTTCACAAATATATGTTATCCAAAAAAAGACGTTAATGCACTTATGTCATTTTGAAGCAACATCAGTTTAGAATCATAAACATCCGTCACGTAAAATTACCTACATTTTAATTGTCAGTTATACTTTTTAAAGGCACCAACATTCCCCGAAACGCTGTCCGAAAAACAATGTTAAGTTATAATTTGTGTTAATATGAAATATGTGATCATACGCAATAATTCACTATCGCAGTAGCAATAGCAGGAGCTTCAGGGTCTCGTGTCTGCACCAGTGCCGTGAGACTGTCAAACACCCCGGGCTCAAGCTTCGTGATCTGATTGCTGAACAAATACAGAGTCTGCGTGGTGGTGGAGATTCCCGCAGGCAGTCCACAGTTTACCCGTAGAACGAACAATGAGAGGGACAGGCGACGGTTTAGAGGCGGCTCACCACGACCTCTCCTTGCACGCGAGCCGCGTCGTGCGTGGTTCAACATTTACACGAGTTACCTCTTCCTGAAGATTTCTGTTCAAATGTTTTCTCAAATATTTTAAGAGTGCCTTGTTTAAATATATACGTTGCTAACAATGATCGATTTGGATGTGTTTTTTTTATAGAGCTTTGCATTTCGGTCTGAAGTTCAATTATTGGAAAAGCTACTGGATCATTATTTTATGTATATGTAATGCGGGCGTAAACGGCCTCGCGGATATGACGTCACGGGGGGAGGGGTTAGGTCACGTGGGGGAGAGGGGTAAGCTCTTAAGGGCGGTAACCGGAAGAGACGAGGAGAGAGTGTGGGAATAAAGACAGAAGGAGGCCACGCAGGGCAGAGGGTGGAGAGTGGCGAGATCGCCACGCGGTGAGACTCGGCACCGTCGGCCAGCGGTGTCCGGGCACGGGTGGAATGGAGAGCAGCGGTGGAGCTGCAGCGAGAGCAGCTGAAAGACTGCACACGGGCGGAGAGACTGAGAGGGAAGCCTGCAGCAGAGCTGCATCGGGAGTGGGGAAAGGCTACGGGAGCGACGGCAGCTGTCAAGCTGCCAAGCGGGAAGGCTCTGAGCGAGGGCCGTGTGGGACAAGTTGTAAGAATCCAAATAAAGGACAATGGAGACAGACACAGTGAAAGAGTCCTTTATTACACTGGTGTCAGAAGTGAAACGGCATGTCAAAACAGCTCAGAAGAAAGAATATTCCTGCACCATCATCTGCTACATCATCCGACGACGACGACCTTCCTCAGGCGGTGGACCTGCCTGCGATGGAGGAGGAGATCCATGCGGGAACGAGTACGGGTCCGGGAGTACAAGATGTCGCCGCGTCGGTGGATCCGTCCGTGCCGGAGGACGCGGACTTACGATGGAGACAGATGGCGGCGCAGCTGGAGACCTTGAAAATCGTGCTGGCGCAACTGTGCGAGCTCGTCACGCCGAGGACGGCGTCGGGGAGGCCCGGTGGTGATTCACAGGCCTCCGCCTTGCCTGCGCTGTCAGTGCCATCTGCTACGTGGCACGAAGACGCCATCTTGGGCGTGGCAGGGTAAGAACGGCGGGAAGCCGCCATCTTGCGCTCTCCGCGGCGAGGGGCCGCCATCTTGGACACGTTGCGATGCAACGCCATTTTGAATATGCCGCGTGATGAGTCACCTGCTGAGGACGGCGCAGCAAGGAGTCGCAGTCGTCATCTGACAACCGTTAAAGAATTCTCCATCGGTGGCGATTGGAGTGCTTTCGCCTGCAGATTTTTGGCGGCGGTGCGCTCCGCCAGGTGGACTGACTCAGAGGCACTGGAGGTTCTACCAACTCTTCTCGACGACGAGTCAGTGCGATTCTTCCGTTCTATAAAGGCCGAGAAAAAGAAAACGTTGGGAAGAGTTTTCGACGAGATGGCGGATGCATACGAGCCGCCGGATGATGCTCACCGCCGGTTTGTTCAACGCCAGCGAGAAATAGAACAGGTTGTGATAAGAACGCAGGTGGCCAGACATCAAACATCTGAAGAGCAAAGCATTGTAGCAAGAGACTACATTGTGGCAAGAGACGACATTGTAGCAAGAGACGACATTCTAGCAAGAGACGACACTGTAGAAACAGATGACATTGTAGCAAGAGACGAAATTATAGCAAGAGACGACACGTAGGAGCTATTGAAGGGCGGACAGAGAGATTGAAACAGGGGAGCGTCGCCGACAGTTGGGGCACTTGCCTGGGACGAAGATGAGACTTACAGTCACCTCAATTCACTTTCAAAGAGACGTATTAACTCAAACATACTCCATTTATGTTATCCACAAAAAAACACTGTCATGAAAATATGTTATTTGAAGCGATATGTTAACAATCATAAATATCTGTCAGATAAAATCATCTCCATTTGGATTATCAAAACCTTACTATTTAAAGCTACACATTCACGTAAACGATGTCCGAAAAACAATGTCACGTTATCTTTTGTGTAAATATGAAAGATGTAGTTTTTATTATACGTGTAGTGCCTGAAATACGTGCCACACGCATGAGTGGGCGTACGCACGAGCAGAGTACAGTGGGAGCAAATGAGGTCGAGGTTGTTATTGTCGTTAGGCGTGAGGAGGCGGCCAGAGACGGGTAGGGGGCAATTAAGGACACAGGGCGCTGATTGGCCGGGAGGTTGTTATTGTCGCCAAGTGGCGCCGCGTTGTCTGGAACACGTGGCGGGTGCCAGCGGGGGCTGGGGGCGAGGGGCATCGCGGGGGACGCCACCTGATTAATTAGAGATTAATTGGCTTGGGCATAACGAGAGGGGGTTTTGAAGCAGACGAGAGTTTGCGCCTGGGAGGAGAGGAGAGATGTTGGAGCCGAAGCAGCGGAGCCAGAAACAGTGGAGAAGTGTAGGGTAGCAGTGGAGAAGCGTAGGGTAGCAGTGGAGAAGTATAGGGTAGCAGTGGAGAAGTATAGGGTAGCAGTGGAGAAGTATAGGGTAGCAGTGGAGCAGGGTGACAGCGGAGCCAGCGGAGAGTGACTGAGTGTGACGGAGAAGCTGATAGAGAAGCGGCTGAGTGTGACGGAGAAGCCGATAAAGAGCAGCTGGACTGGAACGGAGAGAGTGGAGACTCGACGGAGGGGGAAACGTGGAGCGAGCGAGGCCGGCGGAACGTGGCGAGCGATCGGAGAGAGCACCGGAAGGAATGTTGGATCGAGTTTTGCAGAAATAAAGTGTGAAAGAAAAGCAAGAAGCTGTCGTGTAAAGTTAAGCACTACATACACATAATCGCAACGCAATAGCAGGAGCCTCATGGTCTCGTGTCTCCTCCAGTGCCGTCAGACTGTCAAACACCCCAGGCTCGAGCTTCGTGATCTGATTGCTGCCCAAATACAGCCTTTGCGTGGTGGTGGGGATTCCCGCACGCACAGACACGAGGCCTATCCGTTCACAGCGCACAGTTGTCCCTGAGCACGAACACTGCGAGAGACGGGCGACGGTTTAGAGGCAGCTCACAGCGGCCTCCCCTTGCACGCGAGCAGCATCGCGTGTGGTCCAACATTTTCAGAGTCCTGTGTTTAAACATGTATAAGTTAACACTGATCACTTTCAATTTGGTTGGGATTTGTGTTATATTTGCGTCTAATAGTTATTTGTAAATCTATTGGATCATTAATGTATTTAGCAGGTGCTCCCTTGAGCATACAGAAACAGATTTCAATAGGTACTCACCTTCATATGAAATGTATCTATATCAATACTTGTGTAAGTAATCGTCAAGAGGCATAATTATTGGAGGCGATGTCTTTGCTGGAGTCGTTGGGTCTCTCGCTATCATCCCATTAGCACGGTTGGCTACGTACGGTGCGAAAGAAGATAAACATACTTTACTGTACATATATACGGCACGCATAATCACGTGTCCCTCGCTACACCAACACCACCATCACGAATAATATTGAACTACTAATACGATTATAATGGATGAAATACTGCTTTGATAATAATTATCACATGCCATCATCAATGTATTAATATACTCCCACGATTACTGCCACCACCAGTGCTGTAGCGAGAACAGCAGATCCCTGCTCCGTGATGTTAGGCGTTGCATGGACACAAGTCAGCTCTTGTTTAAAAATTATCGCGTCGTGTTTGAACGCTGACCGCGGGTGCCGTCGCTTATATTTAACACTAAACACGGAACTGATGAGTGCTTACCGACGGACAAGCGGTGGCAGATCATTATCAAAGGCGTCTGTGGTTTCTAAACAATTATCCTGAAAAAATCGAGACCGTACTAACGCCGTGTCTGCATAAAATCCGAAAACGTGTTGCATAATGAGCACGCGTATGAGTTTCTGGAGAGGAATATTTTTTAAACATGGTGAATCCAATGGCATGGAGAATTGGCAATTCGTTGACACTGGATAATAACGTACATTAATAGTTAAACTTGAGTAAACTAGAATTTCCTTAAAGAAGCATGGAGAGATGAACGCCTGCATTTACATTGATTGAAATAAACACTATAAACGTCTTCGTGTACAGTACTGTACGCTAGCTATAGGAAGAAACATCGCGAGCCGCGGCTCAACCGTCGCTGCCTCCTCACTCGAGGCTGGAAACACCGCGTGGCCTGGGACCCGCGATGGGCCGCTTGGGAGACAAGATGGCGCGCGTGGGCTTCCGTGGCAGCATCACCACGAGCAGTGCAGTCACAACGCGTACAGGAATCTCGTGGCCAGCCGCGAATGGTCGAGCCACAGGGGCGCGGTCGGTGAACTCTACCTCAATAAACCGCGATAACTTTACCCGCCAGAGAAAAGGGTTTGCTGTATTCTCGGCTATTTGTCTGTGTGACGAGATTTGTGGCAAATTCCCACATCATGAATGAGTGCATGCCGGCTCCAATCAGGAACATCTGCTGGACTACATAGTGAAGGCACAGTGAATGCGGGCCCATATCATTGACACCAGGACCTACCGTGAACCTGATCTGTTAACAAACTATCGGTTTGTCATCTGTAAAATTCGGCTGTCATTCTTCCGGGTGGCTGAAACCCAACAAGTTGGCTCAGTGGAGAGCAGAGATGGTCGTGCACTTTAGCCACATTTAATTTGTCTACATTCCAGCTCTTGACAACTAAAATAACGATTTGACTGTCATGCGATGGATATCACTCTCATATGTAGAGCGATTGGTAAGTGATGCTCTCGACTGTGTGTGGACCTCAAGGAACTTGAATGGATCTCATAGGAAGCTCAGCGATATCCACTTGCGTCAAACCATTCTGTAAATATCACACTCGGCGAAGTGATGTTCACGTGGATAATTTATTGTGAGGCAGAGTAGCTTGTTTTTGTGTTCGTGACAGATTGGACACGGAAGGAGATGGCGGTTTTCAACAGCGGACTGCTGTTACTTCTACGTCACGAGTCCAGGTTGTTTGTGTCTCTCCCTGTCGACAACAACACCCTGACCCTAGCTGTTTTCGTGGTCGATCACGGACAATGCCTCGGTAGCCGCAACGCCATCACCAGTCGGGGTTCTTTGCACCAAGTTAAGGACCAGACGATCGTAGTCAGCACCGTAGAAATGGTTGATTAAAATGAACACCAACACTGTCACTGAATATGTCCCTCTCGGTGTGAATGTTTACATTGATTTAAGTTATTACCACTGAGGTACATGATCATGTCTGTTTTCAATCGAACAATACCTCTACATCTATGTGTTTATTACCTTCCGTACTCTTCCAGTTCTTAGGATTTGATGGAAACGATACTCATTTGGATTCCAATTCCAAATTTTCCGACCCTTTTCCCTCCACCCCTAAAAATACACAAAACACCGTTATATGTTGTACAATGTGTTATTACTGGATTAAAATAGCATGCCAATCTGTGAATTTAAATGATAAAACTAACTTTGTGTATGGTACTAAATAACTGAACATTACACACTACGGCTTCTAAGGATTATAAACTAGAACGACCAGGTGCTACGAGAAATAGAACAGGTTGTGATAATTAAGAACGCAGGTGGCCATATGTCAAACAATCGGAGAGCAAGGCATTGTAGCAAGAGACGACATTGTAGCAAGAGACGACATTGTAGCAAGAGACGACATTCTAGCAAGAGACGACACTATAGCAAGAGACGACATTCTAGCAAGAGACGACACTATAGAAAGAGACGACATTCTAGCAAGAGACGATATTTTAGCAAGAGACGACACTGTAGCAACAGATGACATTGTAGCAAGAGACGAAATTGTAGCAAGAGACGACACGTAGGAGCTTTTGAAGGGCGGACAGAGAGATTTAAACAGGGGAGCGTTGCCGACAGTTGGGGTACTTGCCTGGGACGAAGATGAGTTGTTGGATATGCTAGAGCAGTACTCGACGGAGAGATGTGAACATCTACACATACGAAAATAAAGATCGTGCCTCAATCTTCATGAACATCTCGTCGGAGCTTCTTTACAAATGTACAGAAACAGAATAGACATAAACTGAAGGTTCTGAATTTTGTATAACCCATGATCGTAATTCACACACAAATAACTGCTAAGTAAAATTCATCGAATTTGCTTGGCGATTTAAGTGTTGGAGCAGGCGAAGTCTGTGCAGGAGCCGCGCGGAGCCACACGCCCCTTGCAGTCTTGGTGCTACGTGGGTTCTGGATTCCAAATAACGGACTGTGACGCCAAAGGACTGAGTTCAGTTCCTTCTGGGATCACTGACAACACCCAGATCCTGAATTTGAAAAACAATCGCATAGAGAGACTCCCCGAGGAGGTGTTTGGCCCAGTGTGTGTGGTCTCATCCCCTCGCTTCATTGAGAACTTGATCCCCGTGTTGCATGTTGCGGATAAATAAAGGACGCTTTATTTCAAAAGGAAATTGCTTGATGTTTCCGATAGCCTTGTGATATCGTTTGCACGTGAACTCGACTGATGTTTTATATAAACAGAGATTGTGCCTTCACAATTAATGATGAGGCAGGACTTGGTTTAATGTGGTAAATAATTATGAAGATTATATGGACTTAGAAGACTAAATTTGCGAACCGATTCATCAATGCCGTCGCTCACGATATACGCTTGGATGTGCGTGTAACGAATCTGTTGTCGCGGTCGATAAAATACAAACTACTTTGTGGGGAAGTCAGCAGTGGTTGTCCTTTAGAGAGACTTGACCCGGGTATAGGAACGTGGAATTTCCACCACTCACTCAGGGCTCTATACGCAGGGCTGTACACATGGGCACCAACGACTCAATGCTCATTTGAGCAGATCACTTTGACTCAAAATGCAACGCATTTGTCTCGAACAATAACAAATGGTGGTGGTGCATACTGACGGTACCGCCATATTTACGTCTCGCCTGTTCCGACATCCGCACGACACAAAGTCTACCCATGTGAGCAGTGGAAACACATCAGCCTTTCTCAATCAACTGCTGGATGAAGACCTCTCCACACCTATCGTAATGGGGCATTCATGAGCATACTTCATCCTGTTGGCACTGCATGTTTCTGAATGCGAGTGGGGAGCGCATCTGCATCGGAGCGGAGCAGTGCAGTACGAGGCGGGGGGGTGGATGGGTTTGGGGGTTCTGCTGCACTGCGCTCTGCTGCGAAACGCGGTGTCATTGCACAATGTGAGTCGCATCGCCTGTCTCGAGTGATCTGCCTATCGGGCACGCAGTATCGTGTCACTGTTACATCTCTGTACGCGTTTTAATATAATCATCAGCAGCTGTAGCCACAATCAATCCACTGTTAGATGAAGCCCTCCACCAGCGGTCAGTATCCGTATATTGCACATGTCTATATGGGCATGTCTACATTCATATGAACTTGTCTATATTTTCATGACAGAGCTGCTTCTGATCGCTAACAGAAACTGCTACGTCCCTCTCGGACATTAGATTTTCTCTACCGATATCTCACTGCTCAGGGGAGTTTGTTTGCTACACATTGGGAGACTGGGTTCATGCGGCAACTTCACATTCTCCACGAGTTTCAAGGCGGCCTACTGTGGGTCACGGGCTTCAATCATACATCAGTCAAACTGCCCTCTCTTTCTCCTCTGAAGAAGGGCCATTGCACGAAACGTTCGCATATCATATCTCATATATTGCACCGAATTAAACCAACCATCGTAGACACATTATGTTTATAGACATTTGCTGAAGACACGGTGACCATGTATATTTACTTTTAACACGCCATGGAAGACCCGAAGCATCACAAACTCGTGCTTTGACGGTGAGCGAGTGATGAGCGGTGTCGTGTTTTAAAATTAAATTTCATACGCAAGCATAAAATATAAAATAGTCTCAAGGTGATGTATGTGTCTATGACATAGGTTTCATTATCAGTCGCTGTTGCGCGGCCTCTGTGATTAGCCGACCCCAGCCATCTATCTGTACAACAACCCCTGGGACTGCGCCTGTTCACACGGCCTGCGTCTCAGCCGGCAAGTGGGTCGTGCCGAACTCGGGCAGTACCGCGACGAGTTTGTGATGTTCGTGAGACCCAAAAGAACCAATAGTTATTGTGTTTGTGTTTCCGGGCATGTAAAGATTAATAGATTGTAATTAATTCCTATATATCAGAATAAACTAATCTAAGAATGTGTATTAGAAACAGTCGTATTTTATTTCCTACTTATTTTCAAAAATGGTTATTTCGAGTAATGACGGGACAATATGAACAAGGAATACATAACTGTGTTATCTTGGATTGAATCGCGACAATTTGTTGAATTGCTGGAGGATGTTTGTGTGAATGTGCCTGCCCTGCATAAATGTACTTAGGCTGAGTCCCATGCTGACCAACACAAGTGTAAAGCTGTATGATTGAGTAAAAATACCTTAACATAACGGTAATGCTCTCTTCTCTTACATACATGAGTGAAGTTACTGCATAGACATTTCATTAAAACACATGCAAGTTTTGGTTAAGCGCCTAATAAAAATGAGCTAGACCAGGGGTCGGCAACCAAAATAACAAGAAGAGCCATTTCTTTCCAATTCGGGACAAAATTCAGTATTTCAAGAGCCGCAATGCATCTGAGTACATACTGTACTCACGTACATATCGTCAAGAAGCAGCCCGTAAAGAGCCGCATGCGGCTCCGGAGCCGTAGGTTGCCGACCCCTGAGCTAGACCATAACTCAGCGGCTTTTGGATAATCATCGAACAAAAACGGTCACTGCATCGCGCGCTTTCAGATTCACGTGTGCGGTCGTCTGGAGCGTTCTTCCTTCCAATATGAGGAAGGTACTGTGTGCTATGCATTTGCAAATCCCCATTGAAAAGTCACTTCAAAAGAAGTGCTTTTTGTTGTAAGTTTGCTGTCCTTCCCCCACATATCCGATTAGCACGGTTGGCTACATACAGTGTGAAAGAAGTTCAACACTACATTGTAGTGTCAGCCATTCAGAGACAAGGCACCTTCTTTATTCTAACATTCACGGTCTCGTCCACCCACTCTCCACAGTCGCTTAGCCGAGCCTGTATACAACACTAGCCATCTATCACTGACGTCGCTGACTGAGACAGCCAACAACTATCCTGCAGCGCAATATCTATCGAAGACGGCAGCGACGACGGCGACGAGACGACAGCATTGACGAGACGAGTCCACTCCCAGAACCGGCAGCCTCGAGCTCCTGCTCTCAGCTCCTTTTATTCTACCAGCGTGGCCTGGCCCCGCCCTGACCGTGCCTCCCTTCTCGAACCTCCTAGCAGGTGACCTTTGCCCCAGTTCCTCCAGTCTTCCAACACACCCGTGCACACACTCACCAGAATGTGTACTGGCTGTCCACCACAGTTGCCTCTTCTGTTCACCAACCAGCGCTATTACAATACATCACCCTACCCCCTACCTTGTAAAAAAATATACAGCAACGCAACTGGATGGACAGGCATACCATTCCCACAACCGAGGAACATCAACATTCCCACAAAAAATACAACAAACAAACAAAAAAACATAATCGTGACACTTCCCGCGAATCGACAATCAGAACAGCTGCTCTACCCAATCATGCTCGGCGCACGGCACAAGCAAAAAAACATTCTTCCGATATTGGCCCACAAAGTCGAAGCTTCATCATTACCCTGATTGCAATATTTCACCACTTTCCTTGGCACATAATTGCCAACTGGAGGAATTGACCTGAGTAAATATTGACTGAAGATGTACCGCAACTGAGTTATGTTGACTGATAACACTTCACTCTGTCATACAACAACAAACAACAAGAAGCAACAACAACCACCAATAACCAACCACTTACCGGACACCTGAACTGGAACCCACAAAGTGGCAGAGCCGGGGGCACCTGCTAATGACTGAAAGTTTTGTGCAGTAGCTAATCGTTAGCGACTGCACTGCACGTGCCGTGATCTGTGCAAGGTGGTAGCTCCAACACACAAGCTCCACTAATTCAAGCGTTACACAGTTTAAAGGAACAGGTTTCAGATGTTCTTAGGTTTTTTCGGTAAAGTCACGTAGGTAAAACATTAAAATTAATAAAAGTAAAATAACATAAAAATCACGACGTTTCGGAGGCAACACAAGCTTCCGTCTTCAGGTGGAACTGATGGGCATTGTCCATCCAGCTCTAGACACACACACGCCCAGCAAACTTCCCCTGGGAATACTCTTCAGTTGATTGTCGTGCAGACTCAGACCAGTGAGCAGGGTCAGTTTGTCAAACACCCCAGCGGGTAGAGCCGTCAGTTTGTTTTCATACAAACTCAGAATAGTTAGTTGAGTCAGTTTATCAAAAATTCCGACAGGCAGAGCCGACAGTTGGTTTGTATATAAATACAGCTTCTGTAGATTCACCAGGTGGTCAAACACCCCCTCGGGAACGACCATCAACCGATTCTCAGACAAATACAAGATGTGGAAATTCGATAATATGTGCTTGGATTAGAGTTCACTACACCAAGGCTGTCTGTTATATTCCACGAGCATTTGTTTTCTTAACTAAATATTCGAGCCTTTATGAATAAATTAAGATAATGCGGAATATATAAATAGGTTTTAACTTATATGTTTCTGTTTCCTCCACTTTATTGCAATTGTAATACCAACGCCAGTTCATGATATGAAGGAACAACTGGTAACTTTCAACCATCCCAATGGGTAGAGCCGTCGCTGGTTCCCAAAAAAATATCTATTTGGTACAAATGGAATCATACGATGAAACATACACGTTCGTTAGATTTCGGGTGAAATTGCTTTACAGCAATGACTTTTAGTGAGTTCATACTCAGTGTAGCAAAGCAACTCACTTTCGTCAATAAAACTACATTTTATATGGATTTCGAAGTATTGCATTTATATACATTAAAATCTACAGGTGCATCAATATGCTTCCATTTCCCCATGCAGGTGCGATATCGGTTTGCTATGTTTAAGTCTTCGTAACTTGTCTAGTGACTTCATGATGACATCAGACGGAATATGTTGCCACACTTAGCCATTCTAAGTTATTTCTTTGGCGATGTTCCATGTTCAGCGGTTGGCCACAATGGACGAAACACGGGGAGCCGATGGCAAGGGCTGGAATTGCTGAGCTGGTGGCAAGTTCCTGAAATTCCTGCATTACGTAGAGTGTGATTATCAAAGAGTCTGTGTGTGAGGACACTCACGGACATAGACAAAGGTTCACTATGACCAATTGATCCATGATCCACCACAACCCTCTATGACCATGCATCGTGTACACGGACTGCAGTGATTGTGGGTAAAACCTGGACCTGTGGAATGGTCTACAGTTGTGATTGTGCAGCTCTACTCGGGTCATTTGGTTCAGTTTGAGAAGGACACCCATGGGCAGAGCTGTCAACCGGTTCGGCATACAACTTTAGTTCCTTTAAACTGAACAGGAGATCGAATCCGCCATGGAGTAAAGACTGGTTCTCACACAGGCTCAGGTCGATCAGATGCATCACACTGTCAACCACCTTTGCAAACAGCTATGGGAATTTCACATTCCTATGCCGGGAAGTAGTATATTCAAGTTATATTCTTGACCGTGTCTAGTATAATTCTCGAATATCTTAACCGGAAATTGGCATCACCTCAGTCGACTCACCCATAACTGAGCACTGTACCTGCTATCGTGTGTAGGCATTGGCACTGGGGAAACAACGCTTGTGTGAGAAGGAGAGGCTGACACTCCTCTGTCGGGAGCTGGACCGGTACCGCCTGGATCTCTGTGGTATTCAGGAGGTCCGGTGGACCGACTCTGGCTCCTGCAGGGAGGGTTTCCACACATCTGTCATTTTTATTTTATTTTTCTACCTACGTGACTTTACCGAAAGAACCAAAGAGTATGGATTCCTCCAGTCACGAAAGCTTCAAATCAATATTGAACAGCCTCTACCGGGAGGGTTTACACACATTTGTCATTTTTATTTAATTTTTCTATCTACGTGACTTTACAGAAATAACCAAAGAGTATGGATTCCTGTAGTCACGAAAGCGACAAATCAAGATTGAACAGCCTCTATGGGGATGGTTTCCACATGTCTGCTATTTTTATTTTATTTTTCTGCCTACGTGGCTTTACCGATAGAACCAAAGGGTATGAACACCAATCCGCTCACAAGCTTGATATGTGAATAAAATATAGCCAGTGCTCCTTATAGTCGTATTTACATGCACCCTGTTAAAGTCTCAGAAAACAGAGGAGAGCGAGTGTCTGAGGTTCCTGCGTAGTGAGGAACTCGTGTCTCTCCCTGCTGGGCTGTTTGGCGGCCTGGTGAATCTGAAGCAGCTGTATCTGGGGGCGAACCAGCTGGGGGCTCTACCTGTTGTGGTGTTTGACAAACTGACCTAGCTCACTCATCTGAACGTCAATCAACTGAGAGCGTTCACAGGGGCGTGTTTAAAAAACGTATCTGCCTCTACCAGTCTAAGCAATCATGGCCTTGAATATAAATGCTGATTACCTTCACTACGCATATGAAATTAATGCACTGTTCACATGTTTGAATTAATAAAGCATATTCTTGAGCTAACAAATTCAAATTATCTTTTATATTGCAATGTAGATTGACTGCCATCGTAAAAAAGTTCTTTATAACGTCTGTTACCTTGTCTGGTAACCCGTAGGTGTTGAGAATCACCTCCCCGTGCATCTGTCAAAAGCCTTTTTTCCCAAAAGTATTTTAAAGGAACAAACCATTCAAGAACACGCAGAGGACAAGTATAGGAATTGACACCAGTAGAGACACAATGCGAAGTACAAAGATTGTTACTGTTTTTTTTTTACCTGTCTATGCAATGTTTCAATAAACTCTACATCCCCAATGTCTACTTCCCTAACTCGGATACCCCTCTAGAGAATGGACAGGGGTGGGGGTGGGGATGGGGGGAGGAGAAATCAAACTGGAGGGGGGGGGGGGCTTGACAACCCTTTTACAAATATAAGTATTTAACCAATATTCGTGTTTCATGCGCAGTGACTCTTTATGGTTGGGGAAAGTCAATCAATCCTTTTTGTCACTTCATATTTCTTATTCATACGTCATGGCGAGCAGTATCCACGGATTGACATTTGTAACTGTGGGAAAGATGGAACGCTAATATTTTCAAACGCACTCCAAATTGACAGACTTCACCTGTAAATATTACCATTTGGATCACGATCTGATCTCAATAATAGCCCTAAGTAGGATAAATTGATGCGGCTTCAAGCGGAATCCCTCCAACAATAATTTTATCGCACTTGTTTGGTGTTTAGTTTATTATATGAGTGCGTATTGTAGCGACTGACTCAGAGACAATAAGAGTAGGAGGCCCTCTGTTTATTAACAGCCTTAACAGTTCACACTTTAGCAACTACGGTTCCCAGTCAAGACAGCTGGCAGACTGCCTGACTGGCGACGCCGAGATGGTGAAGACGGAGACGGTGGTGAAGACTCCTGCAGCACGACGGGATTCCAACTCCAAACGACAGCCCAGAGGTCCCCTCTCAGGGCCCCTCTTATACTGTTAGCGTGACCTGGCTCCGCCCCGGCCACGCCCCCCTTCTGGACCATGCTAGCAGGTTCTCGATGTGGCCCCTGCCGTAACCTTTCCCCTACATCACTCTCTCTCTCTTGTCTATCACGTGACCTGCTGTCAGTCAGGGTTGCTGTAGCTGCAGATCCCCTTCCCTGCCAACAACCAGCGCTATGCTGCTAAGGGGCCGTCCATAAATGACGTCACGCCATTTTAGAGGATTTTTGACCCCCCCCCCTTTGTCACACGACGTCACACGACGTCACAAAGCTCTGCCCCGCCCCCCCCCTAAAAAAAACATGCTTCAAATCGCGTTAAGCTATTGTCATTGTAGTGCGTAGTTAATTTGGCGCTGCACTGATGTTGTAGGAGAAAACATTTATTAAAAGTTTATTTCATCAAGTAGAACGTGTTGTCTATATTTATTTAAAGTTGCGCATTTTTACGTGATGTCAAATTTCTCAATCCCCCCCCCCCCCCCCTTCGTCACACATCGTCACAAATGTCTGGCCCTCCCCCCCTAGGTGCGTGACGTCATTTATGGACGGCCTCTAAGTGAACGATTCTATGTCACTGCACATGTAACAACATTTCGCTTGATTATTAATTATTTTATTACCTGCAATGATGTAGTTTACATTGACAATCTTGAGGCTATTCATAGTATAATTTAAGTTGTAACAATGTGTTATTAGCACAACATCTTTTCCGTATTCAAGGTTTTAGCAACATCTAAAAGGAGACTAAAACAATGCAAATAAAACAATACAAACGAGAGCAGGTTGGAGTGTCTTTGTAAACCTGAACTTCACAATGAAACAATTCATTCCAATGTGCCTACAACAAGACACGTTGATCCGTGTGAACCACCTCCGATAGCAGATGGTTCAGAAGCACAACCGAGAAGTGCGCACAGAAGCACTCCGAGTTACATACTTGGAATGACATTGAGAGACAGAGTAACACGTGGATCAGAGAAAACACTTTAGCAAGTTACATCAAACCGATAAAGGTAAGCAGGCTTGGCCAGGCTATGGCACGAGAAGAGATGATGGATTAATCCACGATGGCCAATGCACATTGACCATGGTCGATAACAATAGCGGGGTGGCATTCAAGGTAGGGAACGCGCCCTGAAGTACGGATACCATGGAGATGGAGTAATGACAGTAAGCTCGTGCGCAGGTGCGAAGTTGTTTAATACATCGCATGGTTGTGACTACGGATTGTAGAGACCTTCATCCAGTAGTGGGATGATCATGGCGAGCATATTGGAATACAGATCTCTATTTTCAAGGGATACATCATGATCTTAATACATCATGAATAAATAATTACACTTATGATCCAAACCAATTACAGTAATTAAAATAAAGAAACAAATAGATTTCACAACAAAACTCCGAAACAATCAATTTATACCATTCATTTATAAATGCACTAAGCACTCAACATGTTTTGTGAACAATCTTTGCAGGGAAGTCTTCAGTAAGAGGCAACTCGAATAAAGGTTGGATCACACGCGACGCCGCTCACGTGTAAGGGGAGGCAGTTATGAGCCGCCTCTAAACTGTCGCCCGTCCCTCGCAGTGTTCGTGCTCAGGGACAACTGTGAACTGTGCAGAGAAAAGACTCGTGTCTGTGCCTGCGGGAATCCCCACCACCACGCGAGATCTGTATTTTTACACAAATCAGATCACGAAGCTCGAGCCCGGCGTGTTTGACAGTCTGACGGCAATGGTGGATGCACGAGACCCTGAGGCTCCTGCTATTGCCACGGCGATAGTGATTCGTTACGA